ACAAATGAGTATGTAGGGCTTAAAAAACCCTTGCAGTAATAGGCTATACTATATTGGAGTTTATACAGAATTGTATTGATATCTCTGTTGTTGTTATTTTATTCCTCCTCGGCCATCAGTTCAGTTGTTTCTACTGCAACACCATTTTTGCAGTATGTTAAAACATCCCTGTACATCTTATTTTTTTTCACAATCCATTCTGAATCACTTTGGTTTGTGTTTCATGGTTGGGAAGAAATGATCTCGGATAAGCAAGTCGTGTTGGCATATGGTGGTCAACCTTCCTTGAGAGTCACATGGCCAGCGCCTTGGTCTCTGTATCTGGAGACCTGGAACAATCAAGTCAACCTACAGATGTGACCTTCTCTAAGGAATTGTTTAGAGATGCAGTAGGGGAGTATCTGAGAGTAAGTTCATAGAAACAATTATTTGGGTACTGTTTCATTATAGCTTGGTGTTAATGGTAGAATGCAAAAAGGAACACATTCACTCAGAGAAACTGGGATGAGCTGATTCCAAAGATCTCATAAGTGAATCCTTAGTTCCAGCAATACTTATGAAAAAGTACTTATGGAAAAATGGAGAGAAACTTACCAATCATCTCTGTCTCACTCCAAATCTTCTCTGGCGTTGGGGTCATTTGAACAATGCAGAAGATGATGTAGAAAGGAATATGGACCAATGAAAATTGTCTGTCCTTTTGTATTCATAAATACCTCTGTGACTTCAGGGTTCTTCTGTTCGAGGAAGGACTCCGTAAACCAAAGGCTACTTTGTATATTTGAGCGTAGCCTAGAATTTATGGTTGAGGTAGAATTTTCATCTAAAGCTGAGAGAAGCTTTTGTTCCTCTGTTATGTCAGGATTTCGGAGGAGCATAAGAGCTGCTCAGAGTTCCCTGGATCTGAGTGATGTTTGTCTCAGTCAACATAAAGAAAAACTGAGAACAGCTTTCAGGCCAGTGCTGAAGAGGTGAAAAAGGTGAGTCAACGATGCTGTTATATAGTGTGGGGAAAGGACTTGTGACCTACCTGATGTTGAACTAGTTCCCCACATCCCTGATCACTGGCCATACTGTCTGAAAATGGATGGAAACCAACATCCAGCAACATTTGGAGTCTGAAAGGTTTCCTCATCCAGGTTTGAAGCATAGATACCATATGTAGTGGTATTGTTTTGTTTTGAGTTGTTACTTTAATAAAAGGCACTATCTTTGCAATTCATTGCATGCTTTCTCTCTTTTTTTTTTTTTAGGCCAGAAAATGCTATTAGTGGACTTATTCTCATCCTAAAATAGGGGGTTTGGGGAAGACTTCATTAGGACATGAAAAATAGGAAGAAGAAAGGAAGCCAACAAAAGCAAGACAGGGTACAGAAGCCGAGAATAAGCAATATTATTCAATCTGTTATTTCTTTCGATAAAGTGTTTTCTTTAAAAGAACACTAAAGTGTCTAAATTTGACATTAGCGATTCCTGGATTAGACCATTTATAATGTTCTAATCCAGTATCTGGACAAGGTCTATACATTTTTGGTCGATACATTTTAGTGATTTTGTTTGATTCACAAAAGATCAGATAAGAAACTACAATTTAAGAGATGAATGGGATATTCTGTACTGGCATAGATAACAGAGGGCTTCACATCGTTCCCTGTATTTTAAACATTAAAAGCCCAAAACAAAGTCAAGTAAAAAGTAAAGTAAAATTCGAGCACTTCAAGCAATTGGGACTGTCTGTAACTGTAATGCAAATGCTAATGTACTGGAAGCCTTACCAATAATGACCTGTTCATTTAAGACTGTATTTTTCAAAATCCAAGTTCAAACCTGTCTGCCTTCATAACAATACATTTGAGAAGACCAGGCACTGCTTACCAGCAGAGGAGTCCTCATAGCTCCTTTACTAAGTGCTCAAGACTGAGGTTCCTTTGGCAGAAATGCATGACTTTTACCTTTGCTAATGGGGCTCCTTTTCTGTCTTCCAGGTTGATGAAGTCCAAGATGCTACTTGAACTTCTCAAGAAGGTATGGGGACATCAGGCTTTCAGGGAAGACACCCACCATCTCCAATGTGAATCCTCTCTTTGTCTGTTTTACTCTTTCTCTGCACCCTTCAAAGCATGAATGACTTTTACAGCTTCTCATGTCAGTGAAAGAGAAGAAATAACCTTATGTAAACACAACTTTCACCAACCAGAAAACATATGTAGGGATTGGTTTTTCTATATTATATGGGCATATCTCATGCACTGAGTTTGTCATCAAACTACATTAATTGAAGTATGACTCTCCAGTAAAATTCCACAATTGTATTTTGAATTTCTGAAAGATCTTGGCTTCTGTTGTAGATCTGTGTTGTTTTCTGTACAATGGAAATTAACAATGTGGTTATGGAACCAATCTCTTTCTTTCTTTTTTCTTCCCCCAAATATGTATGGGTTGTGTGGGGGTTAACATCCTTCCAACTGGTCCTCATTTTTTTAAATACTTTCCCCCTCATTTTTAAATTAAGTGTGCTTGTATGTCATGTTTCTTCAGAAAGAGTCCTTTCCTAGTTCAACCTGCACATTTGTTTATTATTGGCCTTGTATAAAGATATTGCAGAAAGTATTTTTAAAAGTCTCTAATTAAAAATCCAACAACTGAATGCTGTTGAAGAAAAGTATAAAATTCAAGGGATAGGAAGTGTGTGTGTGTGTGTGTGTGTGTGAGAGAGAGAGAGAGAGAGAGAGAGAGCACGCACTGAGATTCATTACTATCAAACCTGATTGGTCTCTCTGAGTTTTGTTTCTTATATAATTTTTCAAAAATCCAGTCTAGACAATTTCCTTATCGATATATTTTTCCCACTATCAGTCTACATGGTTCTTTCATACTTATTGTATGCTCACAATTACCGTGTGAGGTAAGTTCAGCTTGGGAAGAAGTGTCTACTGAACCTGCATCAGAATATGAGCTTTATCATTGTGGCTGGGTCCACACATCACACGGAATGATAGTTTTTTAAATAACGTAACCCGTGGGGAGAGCTGGATTAGCTATGAATCACGAATCTGGGTTCTTCTCAATTGCTTTGAATAGTTTTGTACCAGTTTTGTGTTTTTGCATTCCTCTAAATCTGATCAAGTTGAGGCCAGAGCTAAACAAGGGTAGGAGCAGGCCTCCAATACCATGGACAGCTCCAAGACCATCAACTTGCTCCAATAAAGGCCTGGAAAAGGCTCAGGCCTGAAGAGAAACTTTGGTGAGCGTGGTTGCCCTCAAATAGGTAGGGTTTATTTACTGGCCTGGAGTGCCATGACCTCATCTTTTCTTGACTGGGGTTCTTAGTCAACCAATAATACTGTACTCTTTATGGATAACTCATCCTGATTGGCATGACATTTTGTTCTGTGAATATATGACTGGCTTGTCAACAGGGGCAACAACATTTCCTTTAAGGCAAGGAAGGGATAAAGTAGGCCACTCTTAGTGGGTCATCATCCTAGTTCAGCTAAAAGAGCATTATCACCCTTGACAAAGTTGAGACAGAATAGAGGACATCACTCTGCATTCTTTTCCCTTAATTAAAAGTGTCACCAAACATTCTCTGTGCAGACAAATAAGCCGAGCTGAGGCCAAGGGAAGAATGTAGCCTTTGTTCCCTGAATCACTGGGAGCAATGCCCATAATTTAATCACTGTGCTAATTAAGAGGTCATCTATAGATCAACCCAATACTAGCTTTTCTCCAAGTTCACGAGGGTCAACATTTTACAGTATGTCATTTGTGATCAATATTGTCCAATGGGTTTTGCTTTCATAAATCAGTGGGATTGATCCTGGTTATTGAGTAGAGACTGATACATTGACTGGAGGGAGGAAAGGAGCAGGAGTTGAAGGAGTGAAGTATGGAGGAAATACCAGGAGTGGAGAAGGCTGAAAACGTATGTCTTCAGGCCAGAAGCCTCAAAATATTTAAGGCAGATTCATAAGTGTGTAACTGATGTATATTTGATTACCATATTCAGGATAATTTATAGCTCTGTGGATGGACCCTTTCCACTAAACACATTTTTGTTTGGAGAGAGATGAAAGGACTGATCCAAACAAATATGCATTATTAGAAACTGAAATTAGCAGGATGTATGTGCATAGGTAGCCTGTACTGCAATCCTCAGTCCAGAAGGAAGCTGCACATAATTCAGCAAAATTTAGGAGTTATTCCAAAAAGACATCTAAGTGTTAGGTAATCCAAACGTCCAAACTCCAGAAAGCATGCAGGAGTTGTCATTCCCTTTTATGATAAAGACCCCCAGGAAACTAAGATGTCAACATGCATAGCAATGTCCAACCTTCCTCCTCCAAATCTGCAGTAGAATGTTTCAATATCAGCCTAACTAAGCTCTATTTTTTTCATGGGTCTTTCCTACTCTGCAGAACTTCCATGCACAAACTCTTCAGGGATCCTACTCAGAAAGACTAGACCCACTTTAAAAATGTTGGATTCACAACAGCCATAATAGATGGCCATTTAGTTTCCTGTTGCCAAATTATTCAATTTTTGGGGCCTCATAACGGAAATGGAATCCTGACTCTCCTGAATAATGTCTGTTTTATAGATCATTTCAATTGTGGTTGTAATTTTTTTCACATAGTCGTCAGCTGCCTTGAAAGTTCATTCTGGAACGCACACAAATACTCACAATACATTTTAGTGCATTTACCAAAGCAATAAAAAGTAAGCAGAAATATTTGGGCTCTGTGGGTTTGTTGAGGGCCACCTGGCCCTCAAGAGACATTATGGATTATCAGTCATTACCAGCAGAGTTTTATAATGTCTGAAGTTAACTCAGAAGACAATCATTGCATTAAAAAGCAGTTTCTTGGTTTGGCAGACACACACTGAGAAATCTATATACAGGCATGTTAGAACTGCCCTTCTGTTACAGGAAACTGCAAGAGTTTAAAAGAAAGATCGTTCATGCAAACACCCTCACATCAAACAAGGGGCCATTTGGTGATATATGTGTACACATATACAAACCCATTATTCTTAATTTAAATCTAACTCTATCCAACTTCATAAGTTGCCATTCATGTACACAGACATGATTTATTCATCCTTTCTGTTATCTAGCCCCTTTCTGGCATCCTTTTCGGAGGAGATCAAGGAAGAAACAACCCAAGCTGAGGACTGACCTGCAGTTTGCAGGCAAAGACATTAAGCTGTAGAAAGATAAACATTATTTCAAGTCAGATTTAAAGGATTAGTACTTGTATTAAAGAGTATTAGCCCTATTCAGAGGCTTTTGCAAGGCAACCTTCTTGATTTCTCCTCCCATTCCTTCTCCAGAGTTACACTAGGTATATCTTTATATTCAATCAAAGGGTTCCATTGCTTCCTCTATGCACTGAAAGCTAGAAACAAATGCCAGTGGATCCAGCTGTTTAAAGCCCAAGACCATCATTACCCAATGCAATGCATAACACCTAGCTTACCTTGATCCCAGAAAACATATCAGGATTAGGCCTGGTTAATACCTGAAGGGGAGACCTCCAGGGAATTCTAGGAGTATACACTAGACTGGGAAACCGTAGGAAATGTGTGACAAACCGATATCATATCATTGCCAAAAAGCCCAACCTGAACAGATTCATGAAGTTGCCAGAGTCCAGCTTGAATCCTGATTTTATGAACATAGATCCTGTCTGACCTGAGATCACCCAAAGAGAATACAATATATTAAACCAACTTCCAAGGTACAAACATTCCTTTGGACTGATATGAAACGAGTGCTCATTATTTTGTTGACTGTGATGGAATGGTTGGATGAAGGCCGCACTCGGGGAGATAAGCATTTCCTTAGCCCCCAACAGGAGCGTGGGAAGGTTAAGAAGATGAGACTGGCACCACCCTGAGGAATTCACGGTGTTTTGGCTTGCTGGCCTGGGAAGTTTAGATTCAGTCTGGAGAGATTCTGTCTTTGAGGTGGAAGCTAATAAACGCAACAGAACTGTATCTGTACTGTCTCGTGGGGTTCTTTGGGCTGAACCTGACATCAGTATCTCCAGACTGAATCTAAACTTTCCAAGCCAGCAAGCCAAAACACCGTGAATTCCTCAGGGTGGTGCCAGTCTCATCTTCTTAACCTTCCCATGCTCCTGTTGGGGGCTAAAGAAATGCTTATCTCCCCGAGCGCGGCCTTCATCCAACCATTCCATCACATCGACCTTGATTATAAGATGCCTTTATCTGTAAAACTATAAATACAGAAAATCCAAGCAGTGGGGTTTAAACACTAGATCTATGTGAAGCAGTTGCAGGTGGCTTTGAAAAAGGACTTTGTGCAACTGCTTCACTCAGGAGTATTTAACTTTGCAAGGTATAGCGGTGACAATATTTGTTTTGTTGAGATACATTGCATTGCTTTGATTGCTTACTCTGGCCCACCCCAGCAGTCAAACAACACTACTATGCTGAAGGTGTTGGACTAGGAATGGGGAGACTCCAATTCTAGTTCACCCTGAGCCACAGAAGCTCCTGAGATGACTTTGGTCCATTCATTCTCTCTCAGCCCAATCTACTTCACAGGGTTTTGTTGTGGGAAGAAAGAAGAGGGCATGGTTATGTATCACACTTTGGGCTCCTGAATGAAAAGTGGGATATAAATCTAATAACTGAAGAATTCCACCATCTCAAGGACTTACCACCCTTGAGCATCTCCACTGATTTACAGCCTGTTCTAGGGAAACCTTTGTGAAAGGCCAAGTTCCCACAGAGGAATCCCATATGAATTGCTCTACAGTTCTCAAAACATTCATATACATGCTTGGAAGAGTAACAGTGGTAGAGAATACAGAATTGCATTCCAGTTCAAGTAGAAAGCTTCTTGTGCAACCTTGAGCTAGTCACTATCTCACAGTTGAACCTACCTCACTGGGTGTCCTAAGGATAAAATAGGGTGGGAACAGGTATGCTACCTTGAACAACTTGGAAGAAAAGTGAACTATGGATCAGTCGCTTTGATCTTTAAAGGTTTGATGTTCAGAGAGGAAAGTGGGAGGTTTTCTCAAGATGGACCATTACTGTTGACCTTAGACCCCAGCAAATAAATATAGAAGCAACCAGAAATCACACCTCCTACCTACTCTTAATTCCCATGGCATCCAGTTCTTCAGCCAACATGACAACCATTTCCAGTTGTTGTTCTTGGTAGAATTCCAACTCTACTGATTTTCTTTACAAAGATTAATTCAAGAAACATTGATTTTAGAACATCCTTCACATACAACCTGTGAAGTCTGATGAATCAACAACTGAATTGGGGGACCTATCGGGAGTATTTTAAGATTTGTTTTTATTCCCCTCCCTCCACTTCTCTTCTTATTAAAGGACAGACAGGCCTTGCTACAGATTATCCAGCTATCTCCAATTTCCCTGCAATCTGTCATACCAGCAAGATATGTATCGCAAATCTCTCAAAATATAATCTTTTGGAATCATATTCTGAATACTGTTTTGATTAAAAATCAGAGCTAGGACTGATGTGGAACTAATATGAAAAAGACTAGATGTGCAGTGAGCAGACGCCTTCCATATTTAATAATCAGAATAAACTAATAGGTTCAGCCAGCTTGGTCTTGTA